TGTCTTTATCTGTCTACAATAATTGTTTATTGTTACTGATTTTCACACATTGAGTTACTTAGCCGTTTTAACTTTCAAGGTTTAAATAATATTACAAGGACCCTCAATGGAAATAAGTAACTTTTGGGGGGGGGGGTGAAGGGTGTTGGGCAATTTACAGTGTGATAATTGTACTTGTGTGTATCCGTACCTAAATAAACTTACATACTTACCATTGCATAGATGTATATTTGTAAAATCGCATTTAGTGATCCTGAATAAAGTTCACTGTATTTTAGGACATCCCAGGTATTGCTTTACGGGCGTCAAGGAGGGGCTCTTGACAGGGATGGATCCAGGAATTGTTCAGGGGAAGGGAAGGGCCATCCTTGCCATCTGGAGGGTGGCCCAGGGGTCGCCACCTGGAGGGTGGTGCAGGGGTCGCCACCTGGAGGGTGGTCCAGGGGTCGCCACCTAGAGGGTGGTCCAGGGGTCGCCACCTGGAGGGTGGTCCAGGGGTCGCCACCTGGAGGGTGGTCCAGGGGTCGCCACCTGGAGGGTGGCCCAGGGGTCGCCACCTGGAGGGTGGTCCAGGGGTCGCCACCTGGAGGGTGGTCCAGGGGTCGCCACCTGGAGGGTGGTCCAGGGGTCGCCACCTGGAGGGTGGTCCAGGGGTCACTACCCGCGCGGCCCGGTCCATCACCAGGCTTCGAAAAGTGATGTATTCTGGTGGTTTTAAATTTCTAGAAACGTTCATTTTCATATTACTGACCAAACAAATTAATTGGTAATAACAATCAGTACAAATCAAAAAGATTTTTGTTAGAAAAAAAAAATCTGAGTGAGCCATGGCGGTCATGGCCTTTCCCTTGATCCACCCCTGGCTCTCAGTGGACCTATCCTATCGTATGACCCCTAGTAGGTTTAGCGCTTCTTTTTTATAATAATATCTTATCGAATCCAAAGGTGAGATTGTCACCAATGGAAATAAAAGGGCCCCGATGGAAATAAACGACCCCAATGGAAATAAGTCACTCTGACTTGTTTGGGTTATCCCAGGTTCTCTACACATCTGCTGCTGTGTATGATAATCTATGTAAATGTATTTGTGTATACCTGAATAAACTTACTTTTACATTCCCCTGAAGAAGCCTACTGAGCAGGCGGAATGCTAGAACAATGAACGTGAGTGAGTATATTCAGGTGCACATAAATAGTTACATAAATTACCATACATAGCAGCATATGTGAAACGCATGACTCAGGAAATAGTAATGACACCGTGGTATGGTTTTTTATTTATTTATTTTTTTATTATAAATTTGTGCACACATACAGAGGTACAAAAAAATACAGATAAGAGCAGTATGCCAAAGCCACTTATACTATGCATAGCATTACGGGCTGGCTTAAAATTAACTTAAGATTAACTAAGCAATGATGAAGTCAGTGATAAAACATTAATGTAAACAGATTACTATAAAGCACAAGTGAGTATTACAAAGACAGGTCATATGAAGGATTCTGTTAGGTAGTGTATTTAAAAAATAATAAAGTTAGATTGGGTTTTAGGTTTAACATTTATGTGATATAATTGTGAGAAACATTTAAGATATACAATTTATAAGGTTCAGTTATTCAGTATTTATTTGGTTTTGGGTGAGTAAGTGATCTTTGAGTAGAGACTTGAATTTATAAACAGGTAGTGTTTCTTTTATATTTACAGGTAATGAATTCCAGATTTTAGGGCCTTTTATGTGCATTGAGTTTTTGCATAGTGTGAGATGAACACGAGGAACATCAAAGAGTGATCTGTGCCTTGTGTTATGGTCATGTGTTCTGTTGAGGTTGGCAAGGAGATGTTTGAGGGGAGGGTTAATATCAGAGTTAAGTGTTCTATGTATGTAATAGGTGCAGTAATAAGTATGGATGTTTTGTATGGTGAGTAGGTTTAGTGTATTGAATATTGGTGGAGTGTGCTGCCTGTAGTGAGAATTTGTTATCATTCTAACTGCAGCCTTTTGTTGGGTAATTAGTGGTCTGAGATGGTTAACTGTTGTTGAGCCCCATGCACAAATTCCATAGGTGAGATAGGGGTAAATAAGAGAGTGATATAGGGCCAGGAGGGCTGACTGTGGAACATAGTACCGTATCTTCGATAGTATGCCTACAGTCTTGGAAATTTTCTTAGAAATTTGTTGTATATGTGTATGAAATTTGAGTCTATTATCAAGGTGGATTCCTAAGAATTTCCCTCTGTTAGCTTTGTGATAGGTGATCCGTTTATCATTATGTTAAGAGGGACATCTGTAGCTCTGTTACCAAACTGAATGAAGTAGGTTTTGTCAATGTTTAGTGTAAGTTTGTTAGTCCTCATCCAGGTAGATATTTTCTTGTAATTCGGTATTTACAGTATTGGCTAGTGTGACTGGGCTCGGGTGAGAGAAGACGTATGTAGTGTCATCTGCAAATAGTGTGGGTTTGAGTAATTGCGAAGCATTTGGAAGGTCATTTATGTATAGGAGAAAGAGAAGAGGGCCAAGGACACTTCCCTGTGGGACAACCAACTGTAATTGGTTTTCGCAGAAGAGTTTGCCCCATTTGCGTACACATATTGGCTTCTGTTGCTGAGGTATGACTTGAGGTAATTGAGGGAGTGCCCTCTTATACCATAGTGTGACAATTTTACGTGGAGCAAGTCATGGTCAACTGTATCAAAAGCTTTACGTAAGTCAATGAAGATCCCCAGTGGGACTTCTTTTTTTTCTATTGCAGTGTATATATGTTCTAGCATGTGTATAATAGCATCATTAGTATTTTTATTAGGCCTGAATCCAAATTGGCAGGGGTTGAGTATGTTTTGGGAGATAAGGTAGGAGTAGATTCGTTTGTGAATTAGTTTTTCAAAGATTTTTTTGAGAGAGGGTGTAAGTTGGATATTGGCCTATAGTTATTCAACTCTGTTTGGTCTCCTCCTTTGTGGATCGGGGTGACCCTTGCTATTTTGAGTACTGTAGGGAAGGTGGAGGATTCAATGGATTTGTTAAAGAGTGTTGCAATGATTGGAGATAGCACTTGTGACACTTTTTTAAAATATAAAGGGTGGTAAGGTACTTAAATCTCCTGCCTTGTTTTTTAGTGCATTGATAATAAGGGGGACTTCGTATGGGTTAGTCGGAGCTAGAACAGTGTGTTCGGGTAGTTGCCGGGGAGGTAGTTATTTTTGGGGGGTATCTGAGCTTGGGATTTTATGGGCAAGGTTTTGTCCTATAGTGGAGAAGAAATCATTGAGTCTGTTTGCTGTTTCTGTTGGTGGGAGTTGGGGTTCATCTGATTTTGCTAATTTTATTTCGCTAATTCGTGATATCTTTTTTGTTCCCAGAATTTCAGATAGTGTTTTCCAGGTCTTTTTTATATCACCTCGTAAGTTGGATAATCTGTTCTCATAATACAATTTTTTTGCCCTTCTTATCAGGCTGGTTAGGATTGACGAGTAACGTTTTGTTTGGTCTCTGGTTATGTGACCCATTCTGTACTGTTAGCATATGTGTAAATTACCTTGGATAACTCAAAATAAAAGTCATTGATTAGTAAGTATATTCGGGTATACACAAATACAGTTATGCTGCTATGTATGATAATCTATATATGTGTAAACACCTAGGATAACCCAAAAAAGTCACCGAGTGACTTGTTTCCATTTTGGTCCTTTATTTCCATTCCAGTTGCACACATCTTTATCATCTATTTGACGGTATTGTTTATCAGTAATATAATCATACCCTCATCACCTGATTCAAGTCTCCCCTTCCCTCCCAGCTCACCCTGAAAGATTTCATTGCTACTTATTTTTTTTTTTTTCATAGTTCTTCCTCTATGACCTATACTCCATCGAGCGTGATGTGTGTAGCGTCAACGTCTTGCTCTAACCTTCAACAATGGTTCGTGAAGGTGAAAGTAGTTTCACGATGTATAAATTCAGTTTGTAGGAATAATTTGTCATCACCGTATGCCTGTAATAAAATTGCGCATAATATGATTGAAGTTAAATATCGGGTTTGTGAAAGCGATAAATCTAATTTAACGTCTGGCAGGAGTGTTCGTTTACTTTTTTGTAAGCCAGTTTATTTACGAATATATACACAATTTTTATATTTTTACAGTTGTCTTCCATAATAAAATGTGTAAATTACCTAGGATAACCCCAAAAGTCAAAGTGAATCACTTCCATTGGAGTCCTTGCGATGTCTATTGACCTATCTGTTAGATACCCGAAATTCCCCTGCATGATAGTGGCTTCCTTTGTACTTTGCAAATCAAAATTGTAATTATACATTGTAAACTATGCAAAGAAATAAAATCTTTAAACCTTACTGTAAACTCACCACTCCTAAATGTGAAAGAGAAAGCCAATTCACATATACATTTGGAATGGTTATCAATTATTAAGTACACATTTACTGTAAATTAATTGAATGAGAGTACATATAAAATCAGTTTAATAGCATAATACTAATCTAATGGGTGGTGGTCAAAATATTAGAGGCATGTAGTGGATCTAGGTACTGGGCCTCAAAGTTTTGATAGCTAAGCAAGTTAGTAGTAATGAACTATTTATATGTTAATGTCTGGTTACAGTAAGTAGGTACCTGAGTTTTAGTGGACTTAGGGAGCGGCATCCAGGGAATTAAGTATATGTAGGCACAGGTACACATAAGTACAGTTATATATAGTGTAAATTGTTTAGAATAACCCAATAAAAGGTCAGTGACTTATTTCCATTGGAAACCTTGGGATGATACTTAAAGGACCCCAATGAAAATGAACATGTTTATTTCTTTGTAAAGCTTACAATGTGTGATTTACAAATTCTAAAATATTAATTACAAATTAGGCCACTAGCATACCTAGGCGTTTCGGGCATACTAAACCTAATTCTTCCTCTATATTGGCACAATCCCGGATGACGCACTTTAAGGGGATTATCCTGAGTGGCTAACCATCAGAATTAAAAAAAAAATCCTAACAAAATGTAATGTTAGATATTAAAATCGAGTGTTTGTAAGATAGTTTGTGTTAGTGTTGGTGGCAGCGTGGCGGTGTAAACAGTGTTGCAGATGATCATCTCCAACACGCTCATTTATCCTCAAGGTAACTTAATATCCATTTTTTTTATCCCAATACGTCATTTCAACGCGTACACGACGTGTCTCCGAAGATCAGGTGACGTGTTTTAAGTGGTGTGAGTTGGTGCACGTGGGCTTGAGGTTAAATGAGCGAGGTAAATAGTGTTAATGGGGGAGGTGGGGGGATGTCTCCTCTCGTCCCGGGTTAAATTGTGTATAATTTAACACCAGTGTTTGAATGTAACATTTATTTACTTATTGGAGGCTTTGTATTTATAATGCTATTTGTAAAATGTGTAGATAATCTGAATTAAGCTTACATTCTTCTGTAGGTTATCAAAGGTTAAATTAAGAATACTAATTTACTAATGATATAAAGTACTGTTAAGCAGACTTAATGAAGATAAAATACGTAACCAACAGTTAAGTATCTTTATTCTGTTTGTCCCAGTGACCAACAGTTAAGTATCTTTATTTTGTTTGTCCCAGTGACCAACAGTTAGGTACCATTATTCTGTTTGTCCCAGTAACCAACAGTTAGGTATCTTTATTCCGTTTGTCCCAGTGACCAACAGTTAAGTATCTTTATTTTGTTTGTCCCAGTAACCAACAGTTCGGTATCTTTATTCCGTTTGTCCCAGTGACCAACAGTTAAGTATCTTTATTTTGTTTGTCCCAGTGACCAACAGTTAAGTATCTTTATTCTGTTTGTCCCAGTGACCAACAGTTAGGTATCTTTATTCCGTTTGTCCCAGTGACCAACAGTTAGGTATCTTTATTCCGTTTGTCCCATTGACCAACAGTTAGGTATCTTTATTCCGTTTGTCCCAATGACCAACAGTTAGGTGCCTTTATTCTGTCCCAGTAACCAACAGTTAGGTATCTTTTTTCCGTTTGTCCCAATGACCAACAGTTAGGTATCTTTATTCTGCTTGTCCCTTTGACCAACAGTTAGGTACCTTTATTCTGTTTGTCCCAGTAATCAACAGTTAGGTATCTTTATTCCATTTGTCCCAGTAACCAACAGTTAGGTATCTTTATTCCGTTTGTCCCAATCACCAACAGTTAGGTATCTATTCCATTTGTTCTAATGGCCAACAGTTAGGTATATCTCTATTCTTTTTGTCCTGCACCATTAACTCCAGGTAGTCGAATACAGAGGTGACAGACAGACGACAGAAACAGTGGCGAGGTAAAGATGTGATTGTCAAGTATAATAATATCTTTATTTACTACAAGTACTTGTACAAGGTATACAAGCCTAGCAGACATTAATGACATATAGAAAGCCACTTGTTATGCAGAGTATTTCCTGCAGATTATGTCAGTTTTGTCCCAGGATGCGACCCACACCAGTCGACTAACACCCAGGTACCCATTTTACTGATGGGTGAACATAGACAACTGGTGTAAAGAAACACTCCCAATGTTTCTGCCCTGGCTGGGAATCGAACCCAGGCCCTCGCCATGTGAAGCGACAACTTTAGCCACCAGGCCTCGGGGCAAAAGTAAGTTTATTTAGGCACAGATACACATAAGTACAGTTATCATACATAGTATAAATTACCTAGGATAACCCAAGATTCAAAGTAATTTACACTATGTATGATATTTGTACATGTGTGGAAGAAATCACAATAAAATGCATGACTGCAAATATGAAAAAAAATATTAGTGAAAATAGGAAATAAAACCTGAGTGCTTTCATGTGCTTACACACACGTGTAGCTGTGGCTAAATAAACTTGCTTACTAATTACATAAACTACCTCGTCACTGCTTCTGTTGTCTGGATATTAATCAACTTTGTACTCGACTGATGAAGTTACCGTGTAGGGAAAACAGAACAAAGATACCTGTTTATTGGTCATGTATCTTATCTTTATCAAATAAGTTTATTTAGGCATAGGTAGACAAGTATAATTATTATACATAACAACATGTGTAAATTACCTTGGAAAACACAAAAAAGTTAGATTGACATAGTCATTTTCAGGTGGTCACACCCTCAGTATCGAGACATGCACTGCTGTACTGATCACCAGATACCCTCTTATTTGAAGCATGGTAGCCACCTCCTAACAACACTTCCTGCTACACACAAGAAGAAATGGGCTCAGAAGGGATATGTCTGTGCCTACACAAGGCACCCAGTAAATCTCAGAGGCATGCACCTTGTGTAGAGGGTGTAAAACATTGATGTGTATAAAGCTGTGTTTCATGGACTTCCACAGACTGCAACAGTTTTGGGACTGTGACCATTGGGGTGGGGATATTTGCAGTTTTGAACTGGAGCATTGGCACCGCTCTGGCAAGACAGTGATGGTGCAAATGAGGGTGAAAGTGTTTCTTCTTTTTTGGGTCACCCTACCTCAGTGGGAGATGGCTAGCTTGTTGAAAAAAATATATATTAGAACAGTACCTTTGTGAAGCTTTTGGACATATGGTAGGACCCCCGTATTCACGTGGGATGCATTCCAGGGACCTTCCACAGATGCTGAAACTGCGGGTAGTAGCAAACCCTGTACATAAGTCCTATACGTACCTTTTATAAAATTTAATTGAAAAATTATTGACAATAAGTAGAGAATTATTACTTTTTCACTGATGGGAAGTGCTACACAGCTTCTCTTAGGCTTTGAAGAATTTCCACTAACACTATTTTTGCACTTTGAGGCCATTATCAAGCAAGATTAAGGGTTATTTATGGATAACTGAAACCGCGGATACATGACCCCCAGATATGAGGGTCCTACTGTATGTTTTTGTTGTCATGTATGTGTGTTTTGTAAACAATGTACTGATGACACTGTTAGTGTGGGTATTGCATTGTATGAATACAGTGGGTGGCCATACATTTATTGTAAGTTATATGGGCATCATGGGGCATAACAGTTACTGGAAAATGTAAAAAGGATTAGAAAAATCCAGACAACAGTGCAAAAATAATAATAAATTAATAGAGCATACGGCAGTTGCCAAATGTTGCCATCAGCGGGTCAATGACCTTCAGTTTCATGCCTCAATACCGTGGTAATTACAATGGAAAAATCTTTTCTTTTCTCTTATTACCACTGGAGTTTACCTGGAGAGAGTTCCGGGGGTCAATGCCCCCGCGGCCCAGTCTCCTGGTGGATCAGAGCCTGATCAACCAGGCTGTTACTGCTGGCTGCACGCAAACTAACTACGAGCCACAGCCCGGCTGGTCAGGAACCGACTTTAGGTGCTTGTCCAGTGCCAGCTTGAAGACTGCCAGGGGTCTGTTGGTAATCCCCCTTGAAAAGTTTTTTTTTTTTTTTTTTTAAGGCCTTGTTTTTAAAGATTTTTTTTTTTTGGAGTCCCAACAGTGAAAGGGTTAAGGTTGTGTTTTGCCTGTTCTGGAGGCTTTATCAAATCATGATAGGAAAGAAAGTAAGTCTGTTTAGGTACAGGTACACATAAGTACAATTATCATACAAAGTGACATGTGAAAATTAACTAGGATAACCCAAAAGTAGTCAAAGTGACTTATTTCTGTGCAGATGGAACAGTCTTCATTAGATTTCCAATTGCTGTTTGTGTCTTTATCAACTTTAACATAGAGTATTCAATCACAAGCTGATAACTTAGTCTGGCAAAAAATGTCACCATCATAAAGTAAAAATAATACATTATCCACTCTTTAAATATCAAAGTATATAAAGGTTTAAAATGCATTTTAGATTTCTGCCCTTGATTTGTAGCTCCAGAATTTTTGTGTATACTGTAAATGAAAATGTATAAAAATTTATTTTTATTTTCATGAAAATATGTCTTCAAAGGAAAATAAAATATAATTTCAGAGTAAAGTGTAATGCATATTGTACTGTACTTGATAGCACTACTTTATGTACTGTACATTGATAACAAAACTCAACCAGATACAACAAATTTGAAGTGACATGCATGTTACAGAAGCCTCCTTTATAAATAATTTGAGCAAAGTAACAGATTTGTATAAAATGCATACACAGGAGTGCCCAGATTTACAGCGCTTCCCTTTTACAGCATTTCACTAATGCAACGGTCTTCAGTTATACCCATTCTTCATTTATTCAGCCTTCCTACAACAGATGTATTCACCACTCTAAGCTAAGGATGAAAATATCTTAAAGTAAGTAATGTGGTGTACTGTATGTGCATTTTTTAGGCCCAGCTCTATTGCTCACTTAATATATGATATTGCAAACATGTTATCAGGCTTGTATATGCATTTGAAAGTTAAAAAAAAAAAAAAAGCAGTTTCACTTGACAACTATTTTTGCTTTACAGCAGTAGCCTGGAACCTAACCTGCTGTATGAGCAGGGCCCTCCTGTACAGTATTCCGAAAGTGTAATCTTTGAGAAGATATTGATGGTAGTGATAAGGTGGTAAGAGCACAAGTGAAGTTAACCTTCAGTATACCAGGTCTCATTAAGTACTAGAACAGGAAGATAAAGAGCCTCCACAACCCCCCGATAGTGATATTGTACCTATAATTATCCTTGTCGTGATGTAAGCTTCAAGTAGTTTATTCTCTTTTTATTACTGTTACTGCATAATAATTGTGCACTCTTCATATTAAAGGAATTTTTTTTTTAATATATATTTTAGTACTCTTTTATAGACAATGTGGTTTTGAAAGTCGCTTTGCTAGCCCAAAACTTGCCAGCAAAAATATCCCACTAAAAAGACGACTTAATCACTGGCCAATTTTAGTAAAATATCTTTATAGAGTGTCACCCAAATGTTTACAAAGTTGTATTGCTGTACATATTTGAAAGAAACCTTACTAGAAAATTTTAACAGGCTGCTTCACACCTGTGAATATGGGAGTTCTACTGTACTCTCTCCCATCCTTTTCCTTGTCCTCATATTTGACATACAGAAATGTGTCCTGAAGATACCAGAATTTGCATAACAGTGCCATCCCTAGAGGACCCTGCAAAATCTCCAAGTGGACATTAACCAAGTCATTAAATGGGCCTTGGAAAACAATATGAATTTCAGTGAAGGCAAATTTCAGTT